CTAATGTCCATACTTTACTTCTCTCAAATTAATTTAACTCTTCTTGCATAGCCATAATCCAATGTTCATCATTTAATGCTTCTTTAATATTCTTAGGCTCTATGCATGAGATAAATGCAACATAATTACAAATATTTCTAAGAGAAGATCGAGTTGTTACCCCTTTTGATGGATCACCTATAATTTTACCATCCTTGACATAGTTGTACTCTCTTGGATAAGATACTTCCCTTTCTTCAATGGTTGGATTCTCAAGAGGATCATGAGTTTCCTCATTTTTCGTTTCTTCATTTGATGATGGTTCTCCAACGTCATGTCTAACGCCATTTGTATTTATAACACCTACATCATCATTCACACAAGAATCCTTCCTCGGAAGGGGATTATCATCGAAAATAACATGTATAGACTTTTCTACAACTAAAGTTCTTTTATTAAATACACGATAGGCTTTAGAATTTAAGGAATAACCCAGAAAAATTCCTTCATCACTTTTAGCATCAAATTTGCCAAGGTTTTCTTTACCGTTGTTTAAAACAAAACATTTACATCCAAAAGGATGAAAATAACTAATGTTAGGCTTTTTATTTTTGAAAATTTCATATGGAGTTTTCTTTAAAATTGGCCTAATCATTACTCGATTTACAACAAAACAAGCGGTATTTGTGGCTTCCGCCCAAAAATATTTTGGCAAATTATTTTCATAAAGCATGGTTCTAGCCATTTCTTCTAAAGTTCGATTTTTCCTCTCAACAACTCCATTTTGTTGAGGGGTTCTAGGTGCTGAAAAATTATGGCTAATACCGTTAGAGTTACAAAATTTAGTAAATCCAAGATTTTCAAATTCAGTTCCATGATCACTCCTAACACTAGTTATAGAGTAACCTTTTTCATTTTGGATTGCTTTTGAAAAAGTGATGAATTGTTCTAATGCTTCATCTTTAGTATTTAAAAATAGAACCCAAGTATATCTAGAATAGTCATCTACCAAGACAAATGCATATTGTTTTCCACCCAAGCTAGTAGTTCTAGTTGGCCCAAAAAGATCTAAATGGATCAATTGTAAAACTCTACTAGTTGATACATCATTAATGGATTTAAAAGAAACTCGCTTTTATTTTCCTTTAGCACAAGCATCACAGATTTTATCATTATCAAATTTAAGCTTAGGCAACCCTCTTACTAGGTCTCCTTGAATTAACAGTTGCAAAACACGCATACTAGCATGTCCTAGTCTCCTATGCCATAACCAACTATCATGTTCATCCTTAGCAACTAGGCATAAATTAGTCATATCAAAAGAATCTAAATGCACCACGTATATGTTTCCTATTCTATGACCAACAAGCATAATCCGATTAGATGCAATGTCAATGACTTTACAACCATTAATTTTAAATAAGACATTGAATCCTTTATCGCATAATTGACTAATACTCAATAGATTATACTTTAATCCATTCACATATAAAACATTTTTAATTTGTATGGAAGAGGTATTACCTATTGTACCAATACCTTCAATGTGACCTTTTGAATTGTCTCCAAAAGTCACTTCTCCTCCATTTTTGGCATTAAGCTCAATGAACCGGCTTTTGTCTCCGGTCATGTGTCTTGAGCATCCACTATCAAGGTACCATGAATTTGAATTTATTTCCCGTGCATTGTAGCAATGCTCATTTCCCTACAAACATAGATTAATTTTTGATTTTTGGTACCCAAATTCTTTTGGGTCCATATTCATTAGTTTCCAAAATCCTAGTCCCCTTAGGTATCCATTTGTGTAGGATATTTTTATCTTTAGTAGTAATGAGTTCTTTAGGAACCCACATACTTCTAACGATTTTTCCATTAGAGGTTCTTTGGGAACCTCTATGATTGTAGTTTCTAAAACTTTTTCTAACAAAGTTGGATTTTGAATTTCCACCTTTTTCAAAATGTTTTGTTCCAACTTTATCAAAAGAAGTTTTAAGATCATCAATTTTATTTTGATGATCATCATTGATCTTTGAAAGTAAATTTTGCAAATCTAAATTTTTCTTTTCAAACTCTTCTAGTTTGATTTGCAAATCTTTTGATTTTACTTTCAATATCGTTGTTGGTTTTGGATATGAGTTTGTTTTCATTTTTCAATTTTGAAACATCATTTTTATATTTTTAAAAATAATTTCTCATAATCCGAAGCCAACCCATTATATTCCTCTAATAACTCATCATAGGATAAATCATCAAAATCGGATGAGTTAGAGGTTACCTTAGAATCTTCCCCAAATACCATCAAGCACAAGTTAGCTACTTCTTATTCCTATTCATCGAAACTTTCTTCATCGCTCCATGTAGCCACATGAGCCTTGTGCTTATTCTTTGATTGACCCTTTTTCTTCAATTATGGGCAATCATATTTGACATGCCCTGGCTTTTTGCATTCGTAGCAAATGATTGGGTCCTTCTATTTCGATTCATTTTTGAGGCCTTCATTTCGTTTGAATTTTCTTCCTCGATAAGGTCTCATCATTTTTCTGAACCGTTTGGCAAACAATGCCATTTCCTCATCATCGTCATTGTTATTCGAATCACTCTCATCTTTTGTGGATTTGAGAGCAATTCCAATGTTTTTCTTCTTCTCCTTCTCCTTTGGTGTCTCGTCAATCTTGTCGAGGTCCACCTCATCTTCGAGCATCATTTCATGAGTGAGGAGTGACCCAATTAGCTCTTCAAGAGTTAAGGACGTTAAGTCCTTAGACTCGATGATTGCCGTCTTCTTTGATTGCCACGATTTTGGGAGGGAGTAGACTAACTTCCTCACAAGCTTTTCATTTGAAATGATCTCTCCATATGATTTGAGACCATTGACAATCATTGAAAATCTATCCGTCATAGCTTTGATATCTTCATTTGGTTTCATCCTGAAATTTTCATAGCTATGCGTTAGAATACTAATTTTAGATTTCTTTACCTCATCGGTACCTTCATGAGTGACTTAAAGTTTGTCCCATATTTCTTTGGCGGTTGTACACGATGAAACTCTTCCGTATTCATCTGGTCCAAGAGCACAAAAAAAGATATGGATGGCTTTGGAGTTGAGCTGGAATATTCTTGTCTCTCATTCACTCCACAACCTTGGATGAGTGAGAGGTTTGATGTATCATTCTTCTACAACATTCCATGCTCCCATGTCACTTGCTTGAATGAAGTACATCATTCTATTCTTCCAATAGGCATAGTTAGCTCCATTGAAGAAAGGAGGCTTGTTGACGGGCATCGAGTCGAGACCGGAGTCGAAGTTTGAAGTGGAGGCCATTGATGGCTTTGATTATCGATATAACTCTTCCCGAATCGACTCAAGAGGTGATTAAACCTTCAAATGAGTTAGGCTCTGATACCAATTGTTGAGTTAATCGATTGACTGAATCGGCCAAGAGGGGGGTGAATTGACAATAAAAATTTTGGTGGAAGCTTTTGCAGAAAATTGAAAGAAATTGCACAGCGATTTAGAGTGGTTCGACTTTATCAACCAAAGTCTACGTCCACTACCTTAGCTATCCACACTAAGGATTTTTCAACAAATTCACTAATTTGTTCTTTCTTTTGAGGCCAAAGAGATAACCTTACAACTCCCTTAAGAATATACCCCAATTCTTGAGAACACTCTTTTCTCAAAGAGAAATACAAATTTGCAAACTTACAAGAAAAACCTCACAAGGCAAATATGTTTGCACAATTCTAGAACAAAGAAAGAACACTCAAGAATAAATACAATTGAACACAATAAGTGTTCTTGAAAGCAAAATGAATATTGAATGAAAAATAGGCTTGAAATGCTCAAACTTGAGATTTGATGCTTTCTCTTTGATTCTCTCTTGATTCTAATTGCTTGATGTTTATTGTTATTGATCAATGGCTTCTAAGCTTGCTTAAATACTCCTTGAATCAATTCTGAACGTTGGTGATAATTACTGGAGTCAGTAGAGCCGTTATTGTGTGAAAATAATTAATTTTCTGGGTGGGAGCATCTCATGCATCAATGCATGACCATTATGCATCGGTGCATCAGTGTAAAATTTCAAATATTTTTGACCGTTGGACTCCTAGTGCATCGGTGCACTCTAAGAGTGCATCGATGCATGAAGTGCATTCGATGTTTGAAAAATAGCCTGGTGCATCGATGCATGTATTGTGCATCGATGCATCAAATGCATTCGATGTTTTAATTAAATCAGAGTGCATCGATGCATGGAGAGTGCATCGGTGCATGGAATGCATTCGATGTTTCAACTTATTCATTGATGCATCGATGCATGGTATTGATGCATCGGTGCATGCCTTTGAAAAATTGATTTAAGGCTTGATTTTGGTTCAAAATACTTTGTGAAAATTGTTTCAAAAATAGTTTAAGTACAAATCACAATTTTACACATTTAGTAAGGATTAAAATTGATCTTCAAAGACTTGGAGTAATAATTTGATATTTGATAAATTGAATTGAATATAAATTGTAGAATCATTTGTAAAAATCTTAAAATTCATTTAATTTAATTTGTTATATCGAAATATCAAAAATGTTTTTTAACACCTCTGCTTTTTGGCAAAAGGTTTCTTGATCATATTGAAATATTGGATTTAACCAATAAGCTGTAGCATGAAGACTCTTTCTCAACATCCTATCCCACCGAGCCTTGATTATATTGGTATACGGCCTATATAAATCCTTTTTGAATTGAAATAGTTTTTTATGTTATTTTTCGCCCGATACATTCCCTCACACACATAGCCCAAAGAAAGTTTCTCATCCGAGTCACAAATATATAGAAGTCTCAATAATGGAGCCATCACATTCACCAAGATTAAGCAATTCTTCCAAAAAGTTTCATCTAGAATTATAAGCTTAACTTCCATGGCTTTTGGCAATTTTATGACTTTCTTAAAATTATTAGAGGTGACCATAGCTTGTAAATCATTTTTATGGTCATGTAAGATCTTTAATGCAATAAATGCGGTACCAAAACGAGTGACACCAGGACGAATGATTTCTGTCCACCCATGTCTTTTTCTCAACCAGTTCAATGGCCACTTGTGGTTATAAATAAAAACAATAATCCTTGAAGCAAGAGTAATTAAGCTATCAACATGTGACAGCTCCCTTATATCCTTCATAATCAAGTTTATACAATGCACAACACAAGGAGACCAAAAAACAGAAGGATATTTCTCACATAACAATTTTCCAGCAGCTTTGTAGTTAGCAGCATTATCAGTAACCATGTGAACAACATTCTTAGGACCAACAATTTCAACTATTTCAGAAAACAAGTTGCATAGCGTTTCTGCATTACTTTCAATATCAGATGCATCCACAGATTTAATAAAAGATATTCCTTTTGAGCAATAAACTAGAAAATTGATAAGTGGTCTATGCCTAGTATCCCTCCACCCATCACTCATAATTGTGCAACCCGTTTCTGACCAATTTTTTCGATAAGACTCAACAATAAGGTGCACCGATTGTTTTGCATCTTTCAACAAATTAACACGTATATCATGATAAGAAGGTCCGTTGTACCCATGCTAGCTATCTTACTCATAACAATTGGAAAAAATAGAGAATTCACGGCATTCATAGGAATACAAGTATCGTAAAACCACAAAGCAAGAGCCATATTCGTAGCATGTGATATCTCTTTACTTTGCATAGAAGATTTAATCGAAGGTTGAGAAATATCATTTATACCTCGTTTAAAGAATGATTGCAAGTTTGAAGAAGCTTTCCTCTTGCTCGTTTTAGTTATTTTTGTTTGTACTTCTTCATCTTCATCCAAATTAATATGTATTCCCGAAGAACAAACGTGCTTCTCATTTGCTTTTAGATTATTTTCCTCCAAATTACCTTGCATAAGAACTTTGACATCCACCGGTACCTTTGGACATGCACAAACATTACCTTTTACTCCCGCAAGGTGTTGTTTCATTCTGTTAATACCTCCACCATGAAAAGTTTTTTGACAAAATATGCAGAAGTATGATTTCCTTCCATGTTCATATTGTAATTCATTAACATATCTCCAAGCCACGTCTGTCTTCAGTCGAACATTTGATGACGGGGCAACGAAAGTTGTTTGTTCCCCTAATGGTGTTGCATTGTTGTTTTCTTCCATACTCATTACTCTACACAACCAAATTAACCACACATAAATACATAATTCATTTTCAAACATATATATTACAAATATATGAATTACAAAAGCAATCCAAACATATCATATACTTGAAAAGGGAATTTATCATGTACTTATAGTTCTTTAATATATTTACTAAATATGTTTTCCAAAGTTCATTAATTGTTATTCCAATCGATGGAAGTGGAACCATTGGAACATATTTAATATTATCCTCATGGAAGTGGAACCATTGGAACATATTTAATATTATCCTCTTATACATCATAACACCATTCAAGAAATTAATAGCCATATACTCAACGTTTTTAAAACCATGCAAATATTAAATATATGTATCACCAAAGTATCAAACGTCCAAAACTCTAAATAGTAAAATTGGTCGATCTACGTGCAGTGGACTGGAGCACAGGAGCAGAGGCGGTTGATCGTTCACCAAAGTATCAATGGCCGACCGACCGCCGACGTGGAGCAGAGGCGAATGCGACCGACCGAGGGTTTTGTTTCTGACTTCTCTCGTTATCTAATCTCTTGGTCTCAACTCTCAACTCTCAATCGTTCCTTGCTTTGTTCACTTCCCAAATAGCCAAACGACCCAAACCCTAGAAATAAAAAACTTACAACCAGTTCCCAAAAGCAGTTTTTTTAACTTTTTTTTAATTTTTTATTGATGGTCGGTTCTTAGCGGTTCACTCCTGGTCTGGTTCTAACGGTTCACAGTCGGTTCAGCGATTCCTTGCAGTTCACTAGTAGCGGTTTAGCCGGGGTAGAATGAACCAGACCTGGCAGCGGTTCTCGGTTGAACCGACCAGTTCGGTTCAGTTTTCAAAATGTTGCCTCCGATAGAGGAGAATAAAAGACCACAAGTTCTTCGTTAAACGAGCATCCTATTTTAGAAAGAGCATCGGAACAAAAGTTGCCTTCCCGATAAGTTTGCTGGAACTTATCGATCCAATTATGAGTGTTAAGATTTCGAATATCTTTGATGATAGAACCCAACGGATGTAGGAGACAATCGTAATCTTCAATAAGATTGAGAACAACCTTAGCATCAACTTCACACACAATAGTACTATATCCGTACTTCCAATCAAGAGATAGACCCGTACAAACTGTGTACAGTTCAACCACTATGCTTGTACAAACACCCAGGTGAACTGCGAAACCCAAGATCCAAGCTCCGGACTCATTTCTTAGAATACCACTTGCTCCAACAATACCTTGGTTACCTTGGCTAGCTCCAACAATACCTGGGTTACCTTGGCTAGCCCCATCTTTGTTTATTTTCAAGAAACCATTGATCGAGGAGACCAAGAAACCTACAAAGAAATCTTTGAGCTCCCCATATAGTTGTTTACCACGTTTAAAAGGTTATTAGTAGACGCTAAAATAGTGCGCTGAATTCCATCCTTATCATAAGGATATTCGTTTGGTTCGAAAACCTTTTTGTATCGCTCGATCCAAAGGTTCTACATCGTACAAGCAAAGCGAGAGACCAAAAAGTGAGAGTTTTTCGAAATATCCAAGTTGTTAAAAATCCAGACAAGCATATCTTGAGCAAAAAAGATGCCTCGTCTCGAGCCTTTAATGCATCGATTCATATGTTTTGGCCTACAAGACAATCCCTCAGAATATGACTCAAGTTTTCTATAGGATGACTGCACGTTGAGCAACCGGAAGAGCTTAAAATCCCCATGAGGCCCTTCGAGTATTAGTAAGAAGTGTTGGAAATAAAACACTCACGCAAACAACTTTTATTGAAACTCAAACAAATATTACAAGAGAACTCTCACTCAAAAACAAGAACTACAACTCACTCTTATAAGACTTTTCTTCTTCACTCACTTAGAAGCTCTTAATTTTTCTTGATGCTTAAACTAAAATGGGGAGGGGTATTTATACTACTCAAGAACAATCCTACACCATACAAATAAAATAATTTAAACCATTAAAGTCTACAAATACCTAACTCTCACCTAACTAAATTGATATAAGCAATGATATCTTCATCTAATTGATGTAAGCAATGACATCAATTTAGTTTGGGTTTGGGTTTAGGCTCCCATAATGGATCAAGTTTATGATCTAACACCCCCCTTAAACTTGATATTGTGATTCCTAGTAAGTTCCTTAATCTTATGAAGTCTTCTCTCGTCAGTAGCTTGGTAAAAATATCAATAACTTGATCTTGTGACTTAACGTATTCAACTTCCACATCGTTTCTTGCAACACACTCCCTTATATAGTGGTAGCGAATATCGAAGTGCTTACTTCGATCATGGAATACTGGATTCTTTGCTAAGACAATGGCTGACTTGTTGTCGACACAAACCTTAGTAGACCCTTCTTGTACCAAACCTATCTCCTTCAATAGATTTCTAAGCCAAATTACATGACAAACGCATGAGGTAGTAGCAACATATTCCGCTTCACAAGTGGACAATGTGACAATCAGTTGTTTCTTTGACATCCATGTGAAAGTAGTATCTCCCATGAAAAATACGAATCCAGTAGTACTCATTCGATTATCTATGTCTCCACCCCAATCACTGTCGCTATTTCCAACAAGCTTGTAATCATTAGAAACTAAATAGAACAAGCCAAAGTCAATTGTACCTTTCAGATAGTAAAAAGTTCTCTTTGCGGCTTTAAAATGGGTGGTTGTTGGAGATTCCATATAACGACTAACCAATCCAACTGCGTAAAGAATATCAGGCCTCGTGCAAGTTAGATAGCGTAGACTTCCCACTAAACCTTTGAACAATGTTGGATCTATACTTTTACCTTCTTCATGTTTGGACATCTTGATCCCGTATTCTGTCGGTGTGCTTATTGGCTTACAGTTCTCCATCTCGAACTTCTTCAGGATCTCCTTTGCATAGCTTTCCTGTGAAATGAAAATTCCATCATTTTGTTGCTTAACTTCAATGCCAAGGTAGTACGCCATGAGCCCCATGTCTGTCATCTCGAATTCCTTCATCATCACATCCTTGAATTCATTAAACATGCTTGGGTTGCATCCGGTGAAGATCAAATCATCCACGTAAAGGCACACGATCAAAATATCTCCATCTTTGATCTTGGTATATAGAGTATGCTCGTAGGGACACTTGTTGAAGCCATTCTCTTGGAAGTACTTGTCGATTCGACTATTCCATGTCCTTAGTGCTTGTTTTAGCCAGTAAAGAGCCTTCTTCAACTTCAACACCTTGTTTTCGTGCCCTTTGACTTCGTAGCCTGATGGTTGCTGAATGTATACTTTCTCTTCAAAAATTTCATTTAGGAAGGCAGACTTTACATCCATTTGTTGTATCATCCACTTGTTTTGATCTGCCAAAGAAATGATTAGTCTGATAGTTTTCAATCGAGCAACAAGAGCAAATACCTCATCATAGTCAATTCCAGCCTTTTGACTATAACCTTTAGCAACTAGCCTCGCCTTGTGCCTTTCAATCTCTTCTTTGGCGTTTTACTTTGTTTTGTACACCCGTTTGACACCTATCGCCTTATGTCTCTTGGGAAGTGAGGTAAGTTCCCATGTGTCATTCTTCTCGATGGCCTTGATTTTTTCGTCCATCGTATCTCTCCATTTCTTTTCTTGTACCGCTTCTTGAAAGCTCACTGGTTTATAATTGGCAAACAGACAAAATAATGTAAGATTATCTTGTCGTTCAATTACCTCGTAGAGATCTCTAAGGCTTCTTGTACATTGCACAACTCTTTCACTTTGACTTCCACTTGATGATGACGAAGATGATGAGTCTCCTTGAGTGGCTAATGTTGGTGAAGTGGGTGGACTTTCAAGCTCTTGTTCTGGTTCACCTAGTTGTTCCCTCATTGTCTGCTCATCTTCTTCAAACCGAGGAAAGAAATTTAAGTAATCTGCATGAGAGTTAAAATCTCATTCTCCTTCTTCGTTGAAAACCACATCTCGACTGATCACAATCTTCTTATTGTCTGGATTGTACAACTTGTAGCCTTTCGAATTTGCATCATAGCCGATAAAGATAAAACTCTCGCTTTTATCATCAAGCTTCGTTCTTCTCTCGTCTGGTACGTGAACATGGGCTATACTTTCAAAGGTGGTCAAGTGAGAAATGCCAGGCTTTCTTCCACTCCATGCCTCTTTTGGTGTCTTTCCCCATACACTTCTTGTTGGAGATCGGTTTGTCAAGTAGACTGCACACGCTATTGCTTCCGCCCAAAATTCCTTGAGTAGTTTCTTGCTTTTGAGCATGCTTCGTGCCATGTCGAGGATTATTTTGTTCTTTCTTTCTTCCACACTATTTTGCTGAGGGGATCTAAGAACTGTCATTGGTCGACAAATTCTTTTTTCTTCACAAAACTCTTGAAACTCCCTGGAAGTAAATTCTCCTCCTCGGTCGGATCTCATGGCTTTGATCTTTCTACCACTTTCTCTCTCCACTGCTGCTTTGAACTTCTTGAAGACTTCAAAAACTTTTGACTTCTGTTTCAAGAAATATACCCAGGTTTTTCTTAAAAAATCATCAATGAAGAGAAGAAAATAGTTACTTTTACCGAGAGAGCTTGGCTTGATCGGTCCACACACATCGGTATGGGTGAGCTCAAGTGGCTTCTTGGCTTTTGTCTCTGACTCCTTTGGAAAGCTTTTCCTGAATTGTTTCCCAACTAGACACCCTTCACAAAACTGGTCAGGATGGTTGATGTGAGGTAGTCCATTCACCATCTCCTTCTTAGATAGCAGCTCTAGACCTCCAAAATTGAGATACCCAAATCGAAGATGCCAAAGTCATGATACATCTTTGTAGCAAGCTTTCAGGCACTTTGCAACAACATTTTGTATGTTGATTAAGAACATTCTATTCTTTGACATTGACACTTTAGCAATGAAGTTATTCTTATCATCTTTTATAGAAAGATTATAATTATTCACATGAATATCATAACCTTTCTCTACCAGTTGCTCTAAACTTAAGATGTTACTTTTTATATTAGGCACATAG